GACATGTCGACCGACTTCTGCCCGACAGTAGCCCCAGTAGCACGACCCCGTAGCGGTAGACATCGCTCTTCACCAAAAGATGTCCGGTCATTGCGTACTCTGGAGCTATGTAACTGCGACAACCAGAGCCCAGTTTCCCGGAGGACAAGGAGCAAAACTACACTTTTGAAAATCACTGCTTACCTGAATGTTCCTATTATGTTCCTATTACTCAGTAGAAATGTGGTTCATCTCGTCAAGATCCAGAGAGATGTTTATGCCAGGCACAAGCATATGCATGCATTCAGTGAAAGACAAAAGGAATACTGCTCGCGTAAGTGGCATACCCAAGACAATAGAATGCTACTACCAAGCACGAACAATAAAAAACAAGCACCATATCTCCAGGCTCCAGCGCATCAGCAATCCGCTTCTTTGTGAGCCTGATATCTCGAGGGGAAATGTTGTGCTCGGAAACTTCTTTATCTTTTCTCGTGAGGCGTTCAAAGTGTCTACCTCCGCACTGTCAAGCCATGCGTCCTGGAAGAAAGGAGGGAAAAGGGAAATCAAAGCCAGGAGAAAGACTTTCTCACATACCAGAGCCTCGAACTTGGTCGTGTCCACATAATGGCCCATCGTAGTATTTCTTCTCTTTCGCATTTAAGTTGAATGGCTCCATCTTAGCTCAAACAGGTAACAAGGAAAGGATCGCTAACCATTTGTGCACTACGCAGGCAACGACGCCATCTAAGCATCGCCTCAGAGAGAGAAATCACTCCATTGAACTAGTTGATATTACATTAATGATGTCGCAGAAACGAGCTGGTACTGGAATCTCCTCTCTTTTGAGCTCCTTCCTTGCGAGCCTCGGTGTGGGGACCATCTTCGCTGTGTTTCAACTTTGTTGTACTGGGTGTATTTATAGTTGATAGTGGAAAGAACGCGGCCTTCAATCTTGGGCTGCTCTTTTGGAACCACCACAGGAAGCACGCCACATTGCTGTGTCTGGTGGCTTTGCGAGATCGTAGTCCTCTGGCCGCATGTTCATGAGCCATGCCTTTTCCATTTGGCTGGGGAACACCCTGCATCACAAAAAGAAAACCATGCCCAGATTTGGTAGAGAATGGATGCTCGTACCACATGTCTACCATAGTGCAGACCCTCACAGCTTTCTCCATGAAGGACGGAGTGCGCTCCTTGCAGAAACCATTTGATAGAACCTGGCAAGAAAGAAAAGAATAAAAGCTTGCACACACAAACATGTACATACCTCCTCCTCCTCTTGCGTGCTATAATCCTGTGTCCCAAGCCGGCCATCTAGTCCAACAAAACACTTGGAACATATATAACTCTGGAGAGGCACAAAACTTACACGTCAACTTGTGGTCGTAATAGATTCGGAGGTCGTAGCGCCCAAGCCAGATGCGAGCGTTCTGCGTGCAAGCCGAGATAGATCCACAACAACAAGCTCCTGCGATCGCTCCTCCTCGAGAGACCACCGCTGTCCGTGTTGCCGCACTACCATGCCAGCAGTACCAGTTCCTTGACCCGCAGGGGTGCAGACATGACGCCGTCCATTTCGACAAACGGGCAAGGCGACCGTACTCGATGTCCTGCAAGCTGCGAGTAAACCAGTTTTACTTGGTCTCGTCGAGCTTGGTCACGCACAACCGAACCCTTGTGGAAAGAACTTATAAAGGTCAGGGATTTCAAGAATTTGAGTTCATGTTGTCCACGGGGAAGAAGTCGCAGTTTACAACCAGTCCAGTAGCTTTGGTACTTCCCCCATAAACGTGATATTCGAAGGGGAGAATTTGATGTTCCACTTCTCTTCCCCCTGAAAGTGTCGTCAACAAGAGAAACCAGGAAAAAAAAAGACTTCTTACATCTGAATTCCCCATTGCAAGGAGGCTCGGCAGAGAAGAGATCCGTGTCGATAGTGGCACGCTCCACCCCCTTGGAGCTCACTTCCAGAACAATATCGTAAGGAAACGAAACTTTGGTCTGGATACAAACCTTTGATGTTCCTGTCCTTGCAAAACTTGCTCCACAGGCGCTCCAGATGCTCCTCATGCGTCTAGCGTGGCAAGGCTTGGAAGTCCAGTCGGTGAGAGAAGCACCCGGTGAGCGAAATCAATCATGCAGTCCATTTGCGATCGCGCGCCATCCCAACCCAGCGTCGCAGCACACCCGCTCCTCTTGGCATCGGAGAGGCGGGCGATGTAGCAGGGTGCCAGGACCAGGAACAGCGTCTCGTCCCATTTGGCGATCATGGCATCTATACATGCGCATTCGTGCACGTCCATCGCCGCTGCCTCCTCCTCATGCGGCCGTGCAGCTCTGGCGACGAACTTGGACATGGCCTCAGCATAACCAATATCGCTAATATCATCAAACCCTACCCCTGGTTTCAAGATCTCGGCGATAGATTAAGAAAACTACCTAGCGTCTACGAAAAGAACTGGAAAACCTGGAAAGCATTGCCCTACGTCCCTTCTTTGGCAAACATATATGTTACAGAACGATCATGGCATCACTCTCGAGAGCTTTCCCGAGCCAGGAACTCAAGCTCGCCTTCTTTTGCTTCCTGTGACCTCGGTAGTAAACACTTGCAGCAAGAAACTCCAAGTCGATGAGAAGGCGAGCTCGAAACTACTATCACCACCATCTCCATCCATCACGACCACCGGATCGCCATCGCCAGCGCCCAGGTAGCCGATCACCTGGAGGACGTGGGGGTGTGGCGCGACAAGCGCCGCCACCTCCCTCTCAAACGTAACGTCGCTGCGCTTGAAGACTTTGACGGCCACCGCCTGTCCCAGCCACCATCTCCGGTAAGAATCCGACTAGCTTATGTAAATCAATGATTAATCTTCCATCTCCGCCACCACCACCACCAGCCCGCTCCCATAGAAGAGATAAAAGTAAACTTACGTCAGTAAAGCGTAGTAAGTTGCACTTTGATTCTTCAAGGACAAAACCAGTTTCAGTAATTTCCAAACATTTATTATAAGGTTTCGAGTATCTGTACAAAACTCTTAACGTTTAATCCAGACTTCTCTTTAGCTGTTGTAACATATAACCTTTGTGCCAGCCTGAATTAGTTGCGGAATCCGAAATGTCTAGGTATGGACAGTTTCCACAAGGATACGCAAGCACCACACGAAGGAAGAAAAAAGCAAAGCTTGTCATACCCCGTCAGCCATAGTAATTCTTGGGATTTGCTACAATATCATGTCCAGACAACGGGACATTACTCGTCTTGGTGTCTCACAATTGAAGAATTCTTACTCACAGGGCACATTACTTCCAAATCGCTGGAAGAACAGAAGCCCCATCTCCCATTGCCTCGATGCTGTCGTTACCTCAGTATGCTCTCATCTTCATGCAAAATCCACCAGAGCGAAAGAGGAAGAATGAATACTTCCACCTCCAGGGAAGCTTACACGGAGCTCACAAGTGCTGGTACTGGAACGTCGAGTGCTGGTACTGGAATCGTAATAGCGATTGAATCCCACCACGTCTTTCACTTCGTCAAACGGAGGATCGTCCACTTTTAATACACCCGGTTCTTGGCCAAGGAGACAGAGTCGAAGCACAGCAGAGATCATCTCTTTCCACTGGCAATCCAGAAATTCTCAAGGGAGGACCTCATAAGAGAGGACATAGTTGATAGTGCAAAGGACGAGGCCTCGAATCTTTCGCTGCTCTCTAAGAACCACCACGGGTTGCCCAAGGTACTTTTTATAAGCACGCCACATCGCCGTGTCCGGTGGCTTTGCGAGATCGTAGTCCTCTGGCCGCATGTTCATCACCCATGCCTCTTCCTTTTCGTTGGGGTACACCATCACAACAACCAATGCCAGGATTCAAATCTGTGTGTTGAAGAATGGAAGCTATTACCACATTGCTTCAACAGCGCAGTCCCTCACAGCTTTCTCCATGAAGGACGGAGTGCGCTCCTTGCAGAAACCATTTGCTAGAACCTGACAAGAAGAAAAGGATCAAAGTTTGTACACACGAACAAGTATATACCTCCTCCTCCTCCTGCGTGCTAGAGTCCTGTGTCCCAAGCCGGTCATCTGCTCCAAGAAAACTCTTGAGAAAGAGAACACATATAACTCTGGACAGGCACCACTTACACGTCAAATCGTGGTCGTAAGAGATTCGGAGGTCGTAGCGTCCAAGCCAGATGCGAGCGTGCTGCGTGCAAGCCGAGATGACATGGTAGTGCGGCAATACAGCCAGCGGCGGCCTTTCAAGAGCAAGCGATCGCAGGAGCTTGTTGTTGTGGATCCCTTCAAGCAGCAACATTAATTCCTTGATACGCAAAGGGGCAGAGTCGGCGGCGTCCACTGGAACATACGAGTCAGGCATGGATGTCCCGCAAGCTGCGAGTAAGCCAGTTTACTTGGTCTTCTCGAGCGTGGTCCCATCGACCAATCAACGAGATTTTAATGTTATCAGCTACAAGCTCTATCATTCTATCATTCGCATGCTGGGAACTCAAGGTTGGTTACTCACCAGATTGTCCACTGGGAGAGAACCAAAGAAGTCGCATATCACAACTTTGGATGCCAAGTCCAGTAGCTTTGGCACTTCCCCAATAAACGTGGTACTCAAAGGGGAGATTTTGATGCTCCACTGCTTCCTCTCTTCCTCTATGCAACGCCCTGCAGCTGTTGTCAACAAGAGAATAAAAAAGACTTCTTACATCTAAATTCCCCATTGGAAGGCTTCCGGTAAGGCTCCGCCGGCAAGAGATCCGTCCCAATAACGTTGTGCGCCACCTCTTTGGAACTCCGAGAAAACTTTGGCCTCAATACAAACCTTTGATGTTCCTGTCCTCGCAAAACTCGCTCCACAAACGCTCCAGGTGCTCCGTCACCTCCTTGTCTTGCTTCCATGCGTATAGCGGGGCAAGGCTTGTAAGTCCAGTCCGCGAGAGCAGCACCCGGCGAGCGAAATCAACCATGCAGTAAGGGTTAAAAAGGGTATTAAATTAATCTTAAAAAGGGTGATATATAACAAATGGAATTATTTAATCAAGTGATTAAATTCAAGGAGCCTAATACTCTAGTCAAATGAAATATGTTACAAAAAAACGAGAGACAACTCACTACCATCATCTTGCCTGGCGTCCGCACAATCAAATCACTCTCGAGAGCTTGTTTCCCGAGCCAGGAACTCAAGCTCGCCATCTTCCCTTCTTTTGCTCCCTGTGATCTCGCTATACTTCAGTGGTAAACACTTTCAGCAAGAACATCCAAGCCGATGAGAAGCCGAGCTCGAAACCACCATCTCGAGCAAGAATCCGACTAGCCTGTGTAAATCAATGATCAATCTTCCATCCCTTCCATCTCCGCCACCACCACCACCACCACCGCTCCCTCTAAAAACTATAGCAGCCAAATGTCACTATGGTCGTTCCTGTTAGCATCGCCCCGCTTGTACCGCAGTAGCGCCGACTCACTCACTGTCCCATTGTCCGCGTTTCTCACTCGGTACCATGGACGCTTCGGTTTGATCGATGTCGCCGCAGTGGGAGCTGACGCGCATTGCTGCTGCTGGCTCGCGAAAGTCCCCACGATGAAACTCTCCGAGTTTGACAGTGCCTGCTGCCTCCCTGCCCGATCTCCACCAAACGTCCCGGAGTCGTAGTCTATGCTGATGAACGAGTCACTCTCTCGGCAGTGCCTCGCCGCACCGCTGATTCTCTCGTCGTCACCACCACCACCGTTTGCGTACGTTCCACCACCGCCGACGAAAGGATTCCTCGACTTCACATCCTGCTGCTGGCTTTCCCTGTGCATGCTGCCATTGCCGGACATGATACCGTCGCTGGCGTCCGAGTCGTTGTACACCAGCTTCAATGCCTGGACAACTTCTCCCATGAGAGGCCTGTGAGAGACGTCCGGCTGGACGCACATCGAGGCGATCGCTGCCACCTTGACCAGGTTGTCGAATGGAACGTTGTTCAGAGCCGGGTCGACGAGGATCTCCAGTCCCTCCTTGCTGTTGAGCAGCGGCCTTGCCCATGTCACTAGATTTTCTTGACCGGGTGGCTGGGACATGTCGACCGGCTTTCTGCCCGACAGTAGCTCGAGTAGCACAACCCCGTAGCTGTAGACATCGCTCTTCACCAAAAGATGTCCGGTCATTGCGTACTCTGGAGCGACGTAACTGCGCCAGTAAACCAGAGATCAGTTTCTCAGAGGATAAAAGAAAACTACGCTGTTGAAAACCAAAGCGTACCCGAATGTTCCCATCACTCGGGTAGAAATGTGGGTGCTCATCTCGTCAGAGGCCGCTTTTGCGAGCCCAAAATCCGACACTTTGGGAGTGAAATCCTCTTCTAGCAGTATGTTGCTGGCTTTGAAGTCTCTATGTATCACTCTGGGATTTGAATCCTCGTGAAGGTAAGCCAGACCGCGTGCTGCACCGAGAGCTATCTTCAAACGGGTTTCCCAATCCAAAGGCGAAGTTTCTTGATCAATGCCTGCAGTCATAGATAAATGCTAACAACGATGAAGTAGCTTGCACGTACCATGAAGGTGGGATTCAACACTTCCATTTGAAATGAGCTCGAAAACCAAGCATCGTGTGTGTTCTTCGATGCAAATGCCCAAAAGCTTCACCAGATTACGATGGTGAAGGCGGCTCAGCATTTCCACCTCCGCTGCAAACTCACGGCCGCCCTGGTGATCATCTCTAGTCAAAACTTTGACAGCAACTCTTGTGTTGTCGTCCAGAATGCCATGATAAACTCGACCGAAACCTCCCTCTCCAATAATATTCTGCGTCTTGAACCCGTTGGTTGCCCGTTCTATCTCCAGTAGAGTAAATGTCTTTGCCGAGCCGGTATAAGGCGTGAAGCTCGACGCATAAGAGATTGATGTCGAGCTGGCCATGCTGCTAGAGAGCATGGATCCTCCACCTGAAACAAACGAACTTTGTCAGTAAAAGATGCTTAGTAAACGAGCAGAATACCTGACTTCTTCGTCACAGACGAGCCAGGCAGCATGGGTTCAACCATCATAGGTTGCTTGGCATGTTTGCAGCGCCATGCAAACCACACCGCTACCAGGCATATAACGGCAAGCAGAGCAGTCAACACCACAACGGCTATGGTTCCAGTGCCGGGCCTTGACCTCCTCTTCTTTACATTGACACTGAGTGGTTGTTCGTAAGGACTTTTAGAGCTTGTAGGGCCTCCCGCATTGCTACCGGGCGAAGGAGGGGACGGAGGCAAGCCTGATCATGAGACCAACTTAACATAAAGCATAAAGCAACATTTCAAAAAGAGATTTTACCTGGATATCGAACATAAAGGACGCTGTAGCTTCCAAACCGGTCCTCACTAATGCCAACCTCGTGATTCCAAAACTTATGAGCTGTTCGCAAAGCAGTCGCATTGTCAAAGGCAGCTCCCAAAGGAACTAATTCTGCTTTAACTTCTGTTTCGTCCATGTTATTTTCCACTGTGTTCGCACCCAGAATTCGCACCTGGCTTTGCGAAAACGACGTCCCTGCCGCCAATTCTGAAGCCAACTCTGACACTTGCGGGAAAAACACATAAGGCGGCACTCCAAGCTGAAGGCTCACCAGCATTGGAATAACACAGCCGCATGGTTCACCAGCAGTTGAAGTGAATGGATCTGTGCATCGTTCGTGACAGTCTGTGACAAAAAGAAAACGTATTTTGATCGCCCTGAGGACATCTAAAAGAGCGTGTTACCCGTGGACGGTGCTGGCAACGAAGGAATAATACCAGGTGGAGGCATTGGAGAAACGGACGGGCCTGGGCCTAGAAGAAAGAACAAACAAAAAAAGAGTGCTGAAGCTTGAAAATGGAGGTGATCGTTGTTACCTGGAGTTGGCGCCTGGATGTGGACATGACGCCGATGGTGTGGCGATTGTGCTGGAACCACTCCCCCGTGACCTCGATGTGTTGGTGCGGGAGCGTGATCGTGACGATGATGGCGATGGTGATGGTGCCCAGTGGTTGGAGCCGAGGCAATGCTTACTTGGTAGGATGGAGAGTGCTGCCCAGAAAGGAGAAACCGCCGGAAGTGAGTCTTCTCGGTTTGATCAGTAGCGCTGCGCAAACCCATATCACCAAAATGCTCTCAAGAGAAGATCGAGAAGTAGAAAACCAACTTACCGTCTTCCCAAGCCCTCGATTTCGCTCTCCCCAATTAGAACTCCTGGCACCAAACAACCCACCACATAAATTCCTACTCGTTTAAACAACGCACCAGAAGAAAAGAAAAACCAAAGAGAGAAAACACGAGAACTTACCTTGAGAAGCGGCAATGTAGAGAGCGCTCAAGCTCAGCACCACTAGCACGGCATTCCCACAACTCATGGCTAGATGCGCCATTCACTGCTCGCTCCCCATTCCTCCACTCTTGCTGCTCGCTTCCTCCTACATTATCCTCTCCGGCGGCTGTGGAGCGACCCTCCCCACAGGAGAGCCGCCTTCCCAGACCTAAAACCAGCTCCACCGCAAATCGCTGAGAAATCGCGCTGCCGCATGCCACTACTCCAAAATATTCCCCCTATTTCGTGCAATGCGAGCAAGAAATCCCCTCCCCGGGCGCATCAAAAGCTCGGCCTCGCCCCGGAGCGAGAGAATCTCTGCAATCCCTGCCTGCGCTCCATTCCGGAATCCTCCACGGCCGAAATCCAGCAATCCCTGCCTCTAGCAATGCGCGCCTGGGCGAGAATGCGGCATCGCGACCTGGAAATCTCGCCGCTCCGCGCCGCTGCTCCAAAGCACCATCGCTGTCGCCTTCTTCACAATCAATGCCCCTCAACTCTGCGAGAGAAGGGAAGTGAGGAAAATAAAAATATACCTTTAAGACCACCTCGCTGGTAAAAGAGAGCGCCCGGCAATTTGGCCGGTCAAAAAAAGCAATGGGGGTAATGGCCAGTGGCCACGCCCGCTCACATGGGCCACACTGGACAAAGCGTATGCCCGTTGGGCAGAAACACTAAACCGCACTGACGGCGTCAAGTCCCCGTGTACGGACGAAGAGTACAATTGTTTAGCTGGAAATGACGGTGCAACGCTGACGGACGTAATAGCGGGTAAAGGCTCTGACCCCTGGGCAAAAGTGGGCATTTTTGTGCGCGTAATGCTTGGCCAGTGGCAAAGCAACAAGTGGCCACCAAGCTTAACAGTTGTTAGGTGTGATAGTAATTAAGTAAAATCCTTTTAGTTAGTGGGAATCTCTTTGAATGGCATTTTTTTTCTCTTTTATTTTGAGTTTTTGGAGCATGAAGTGGCCATGTTTCTTTTATAGCCTTGAAGAAGACGAAGAACTGATTGCTTGAAATTGGTCTTTGCATTGGAGGGGATGAACAAAGGTGTTTCCAAGGTCAAAAGTCTTGGTTGCCTTGAGAGAACTTAAACCCACATATTTTCTCTCTCTTTGCAATGTACCATCTTGGGGGTTGGAGCTAAGACTTGGATGAATGATCAAACTACTTACTACTTGCATGGTCAGTTTCTATTGAAGACTGTGAAGGACGAAGCCAACAAACAAGAAAAAATCAAAATAAAAAAGGAGGAGGAAGAAATAGAGTCTTTTTGGTTCTTCACTTTTCAATGTAAAGGGTTTTGGTTCCTTCTTTTTGACTGTGATGTTTTTGGCCTGTAGAGCCTGGAACAAAAGACAACAATATCTATCCTACGCAAGTTATTCTCTTTTGGTTCGTTAGTGTATTGCTAGCTCGCTTAATTTAATTACATTCATAAAAATTTTCTAAACAAAGCCATCCGTGGTTATTGTGTTCAAGTAACTTCAAATATAGTTTTTTTAGAATAATTTTCTAATCAAAGCTATTAACTAAGTCTTGCATTGCTCACATACTGAAGCAATTACTGTTTGTGACCTTATATATTTTCTTACAAGAGTTGAACATCCAGAATAAACTTTTGAAACAAATATATTTGAAGTCTTCATGCTGTTCAGAAATTAGTATTTACTAATACAGTATTTAATATAAATGTTTTTACAGCACTTCAAAAATTATATAACCTCCTGTGCATCTCTATATGGAAACATTTTTAGAACTCTAAGCTATTAAGAGTGTATATATATATGACCAAATTTAGTTGTATATATATAGATATATTTTACAGAAACTTGACTCGTTTTATAGGAGCTTTTTGATAAATAAAAAAAAAAGACGTTTTTGTTAAAGTGTTTGACTTAAGCATCTTTAGCTGTAGATGTTAACCTATTTTCAGAACAAAGCTCATGAAAACATTCCCTTTGTTTTTCCTGATTTGTTTTGCCCAATTAATTGCTCATCAAATACCTTCAACCATGGCCTTTGGGAGTTCCTATCACATTATGAAATTGCAAGCATCATATCTGTTTCAGAAGTGTGTATAGAATGTTTTATACAATACATGACATCTTATCAATGGACCATCACATAGTTGATTGCTCCTTTTTTATTCACGATGTTCAGCAAGGTGATAGATGCTCAGCAAATCAAGGAACATCAATTACAGGGATTGAATCTCAAGCCACCTTTACCTTTTTACTTTACAACACACAAGAAATTTACAGAGCAGTAGTAAATATTTGAGTGGAATGTTCGTGTTAGAGTACTGTGTGATCTATGTTCCAAGTCCACCTAGTCCTCCAAGTCATCAAATTCTTTCTTGGAATAGTAATTCTATAGTTTAGGAAGCTCAGTGTTTGAAACAATGTTATTTATGTGGTGGCCTCATTTCAGTGGTGACAAACTGTATCATCCAGATGGGCTTGTAATGCTAATTCTAACCTTCCCCTTTACAAAGTTTTCATTCAAGACTTCCAAACACGTTTTCAAACACAAGTGGTAATTTTAGGCTTCTTTGTTAATCGCTCGTTACTAGTTTCAATAACCATGGTGTTTATTGTTAAAATGAATTATTATTTATAAACAAACTTACTGATTTTTCATTTGGCATGATAGATTTATTGTGCATGCTCGATCCACACAAAGTCATCCACACCAGATCATCAGGCTCGTATGGCATGCTGTGGATCAAATCCTCGGCCTTGCCAACCTGTCCCGACCGAGCAAGAACATCCACCATGCACACGTAATGCTCCACACCAGTTGCCACGCCCAAAGGATCAATCTCTCGCAGCCAAAGCCAGCAATGGTGAGCGTGATCCACGAATCCAGCACGGCTGCAAGCACTCAAAAGAGTGCTAAAGGTGATGGCATCCGGCTGACAAGATCCATCCAGCCTCATCTCCCAAAACATCTCCACAGACTCCTCGCTTCTTCCATTCTGAGCGTAGCAAGCGAGGATCGAGTTCCAGGATACGATATCACGATGGTGTTCCATCCACGGATCCCGGAACACGAGTACGGCAGCACTCGAGTCTCCACACCGGCCGTACATGGAGATTAACGCGTTTCCAAGCTTGTTCCTGGTGTTCTTGCTTGCAATGGTGGCGTCTCCCAGGATCCGGGAGTGGAGAGACTTGGCTTGCGGCAAATTCCCCATGCCGGCACAAACATCGATCATTGCCAGGTAGCTGATATCGTTGAGCTTGACACCAGTTTGATCCATGAGCCTGGAAACTCTGAGAGCTCCCTCGCAATCGCCACTCTGGACGTAGGCCCCAATCAACGCATTGTAAGTCACGGCGTTTCTTTGGCTCTCGCTCACGCTCCAAAAGACCTCACGAGCTCGCTCGAGCTCGCCAGCTTTTCCATACAGGTCGATGATTCCACTCCATAGCGATTCTAGTCCCATCTCCACGACTCTCGCATGGACAAAGCTCAAGTCCAACGCTTCGATGGCGGCCATGAGTGATACTTCGTCAGCTTTTACGCCTTCCAGCTCCATCTCCTGGAAAGTCTTCGCAGCACTACAAGGAAGCCCACTCTTGGTATAAACAGCCACCATAGCAGTCCACAACACCACATCCAGAGCCTTGGTTCTCTCAAAAACGCTCTTGGCTTGATGTAGATCCCCGCAAAAGCCATAAGCCGTGACCAATGACGCTGCTACCTGAGCCTCCATTCCAAGACCTTTAGCGATGGCATGGAGAAGCTGGACCTGTGGCAAATCTTCAACTCTAGTGCAAGCTTCCAAGACGCTCACCAAGGTGCTCAAAGTCCCCGCGACGCCTTCCAAGCTCATTTCTCGGAAGAGCTGGAGCGCTTCGTCGCAGTGACCGCCGCGAGACAAAGTGGAGATCATGGAGTTCCAAGTAACTGGATTGCTGCTACTGCTCACAGTTTCGAAAACTTTCCAAGCATCTGCAACGCTCCCGCATTTCCCATACATGCTGAGAATCGATGTAGCGAGGATCACGTCCAGAGGAACCCCACTTTCGACCAAGAATTCGTGCAGCATCAGGCCTTGCCTCAAGTATCCCGGATCCTTGGAGCAAGCATCAAAGAGACTCACGTACACAACCTCGTCGGCTTTCATCCCTTGAAGATCCATGAAGCAAAAGAGCTGTATGGCCTTCTCGCTGAATCCATGCATGGAGTAAGCTCCCACCAGGGCCGTGTAAGCAACGACATCGCGTTCGAGCTCGTGAATATCATAAAACACAGCGATTGCAGCTTCTAGATTGCCAAACTTCGCATAAGACGTGATCAATGCGGTTCCGAGAACTCTGGAACGAGAGGTTTTCGTTGCCGAGGCTTGGATCTCCGATTGAACGACGAGGGCGATGCTGAAAGACTCGCAAGACGCGAGAACGTTGAGGAAGGAGATATCGTCCGCTTGGACGCCTTCCAAGTCCATCAAACAAAAAGCCCGGTACGCCTCCGTGAAAAGCCCGTTCCATGCATACGCCGCCACCATTGCATTCCAAGCAGCAGCAGTGGGAGAAGAAATGTTGTCAAAAAGTTGGCGAGCTTTGAAAAGAGACCCCGCCTGTCGTCCCAGCAAGTGTATCACGGCACTCGCCACGAAAGGATTCGTCAAGTAGCCACTTTCGATGGCGATTTCCACCACCATGTTTGTAAAAGCAGCGGGAAGAACCCCGCACGCACCGAAAATCCCAGTGAAAGTGAGAGAGCTCGGCTTTACTCCTTCCAAATTCATAAGCTCGAAAAGAATCATGGCTTCTGCAGAATGCCATTTCTTGGCATAAGCAGTAAGCAAGCTATTCCATGCTACTACATTCTTTTCTGGCATCTTGTCAAAAAATTCTTTAGCTTCTGAAAATTTCTGGTTTTTGGTGTAGGAAACGAGCATGGTCGTCCGCGAAACCAAATCCTGGGAAGGCATTCTCTCGAAAACATCTCTAGCTGTGTCAAGATCCCCGTTATGGGCATATGCTGTAAGAAGCAGAGTCCAGGAGAAAACATTGGGCTGCTGGATCCGATCAAACGCTGCTTGGGCGTCCATGAGACTGCTAAAGTTTCCATACATCTGGACGAGCAAGTTCCCGAGGAAAGTATCGGTGTCAAAGCCGGAGTCTATCAGTTTCGTGTGGATCTCTTTCCCCTGTGCCAAGTCCGTGCAGTTCCGCAGCAAAGAGGCATAGGTGGAAGATGCCTGCTGAATAGAGAGGTTGCTCACTCGCTCCAATCGCTCCCTGAAAGGCCCAAGCGTCGCCCATCTCTGATCAATGGCCATACATCTTTAAGAGATCGAAAAGATTTGTTAACATAACCTTGATTAGTGTGTAAAGCACTGCTGGTCTAGTGGAAGAATAGTATCCTGTGCCGGTACATATCCAGATTCGATTCCCGGGCAG